TGTCCTTTTAAAGCTTACACAGCATATGCTGCAATACTGCAGGGATAGAAGGACCTTTTTTATCCCATCATAAATGTAATGCAATTGATTTTAAAAATATCTGCACCTTAACTGATTTACTAGTTTGCTAATTTACTAATTTACTAACTAATTCTCATAAAGCTAGTTATTTTCAATCCTTTATCATTTTATTATTTTAAGACAATGGTGAGCAAAGTAGATACTGACATTTTTGTCTAAATGTTATGAAACACACATTTCTGGAATAGACATTGTTGATTTGAAATACTGAAAAAAATATTACTCTTCAGTGCTGACAGTTGTCTCTGAATTCTCTCCACCCCCCCTTCTGTGTTAATCCCTTCATGCTTTCTTCTTACCGTTTCTCAAGTTGGAGGAAAAAGTTGCGCTGATATTTGAAGATAAATCCACAAGCAGACTTTGGGAATTGTAAGTGTAGCTCTTCCTGGAGTCAAGTGCCTTTAGCACTTTTAAAACCTGAGCGCACAACCAGACCTGGAGGTCCTGGGACTCCTGTGGCGTGTGCCGTCACCCTTTCAGATGAGCAAACTCTTGTCCACATCTGGAGGCTTTAAACCCAGGTCCTGGCTCCCCCCCAGCCTGCAGACTGCTCTGTGTGGGGATACACTTGGTTCCCCTAAAAGGAAGAAAACTCTTGTGCAGGAAATGCTGTCCCAAATAAAGCTTCCTGGTTTTGTTCTTGAATTTCACTACTTAAAATGAGAAGCATGTTTAAGCACTCGGATGTTTAGTTAAACTACAGTTTGGTTTTCATTGAATAAATTTATCTGAAAGCTCTGTTCTAGTCTGTTTTCTCCAGAACTTCATCCCACACACAGATTAATGCTTACAGGTAGGTGCCTTTTCACAGGCAGGAAAACACGTCTCCCAGTGTTCAGCAGTAGATCCCCGTATAGGCTGCAAATCAAACCGGGAAGAGCAGCGTTAACTTTTTGGTTTTGGTGCATTGCTGATAAGGGGTTTGCATCAGCATTTCATGGGCCAACATTTTCAACAATTTTTTTTTATTTTCCCCCATTCCTTTTCCTCTGGTAAGTGTGAAATTTCAGCAGATTGTTATGCAAAGCAGTTCTGTGTCTCAGTGTGACTGGGGAGACAGCTGTTCGGCCTAATGAGGAGTGCTAGCGCTACAGTATTTCTGTTGATTGAGACCCACGGAGGGAGCAGGATGTGCGAGGCCAGGCAGCGGTGTGTGGTGAGGAAGTGCCACGCTGTCAGCTGGAAATACACGCTCGGCTGCTCCCTACGACAAGATAAATGAGTTTTGCTGGGGTTTGGCGCAGGCTGAAGCTTTTCTGGAGGATGGTTGTAGCGCACCAAACTCCCTGCGGGACCCACGGTTTGAAGTGTCATAAGACTGCTTCCTCTTTGCCAGTTTTTTTTTTTTTATGTCCTACAATACCTGTCATCTTTTTGAGTTATTAAAAACCTAATGCCTTCTAGCATTCTATTAACACGGGGCTGGTGATCTTTTGTTGACACTTTATTAATTTAGCCAATGGGATGTTAGCCACCGTTTTACCTGGGTTAGAAGAAACTGAAGACTGTCAACAGAAAGTAAAATTAGCCACATGAAAATAAAGGAAAGAGGTCTTTTAATTTTTGTGGTATGGGTGGGATTAGGGAGGCAATACTTTTGGAAGGTTATTTGTATATTAGCTGCTCTGCCATCTTCTTTCTTCCCACACAGACTTTGCTTCCCCTTCTTCTCCCTTTCCCTCTGTAGCTGGGCTGAAATCCTATTTTAATTTATAAGTAGGAAATGGCCTTTCTTCTTGTTGCTCTTTTGTCTTAATTGAAAAAACCCAAAATGATGAGATACATCTGTCTCACCTTAGGAGATGCCCTGGTTTGGAATAGCAGAGGAGACAAAGCATGATCTGTAGTGCGTAGAAAAACCTATGATTGCTCATGTTTTCTGAAGTCAGTAGTGTTGTTCGTGGTCTTGAATTTAAATGTATGTGTTCTTTTAAATATTAACTCAATATGTTCCACTTTGAAACCAAACCAAAACAACCACCTGGTCTTTATTCCAGTGACAGTCAGGTTCTGATAACCCCCCGCCTTGAATTGTCAGGTTGCTGAGAATGATGCTGCTTTTGGTCTTTTTAGAATTTATATTGTTACTTAAAACTTCTCGTCTTGCACCCTTATTTTGAAATAAGATATCTTTGAGAGTTGAATTGAGTGTATCTATAGGTTCCCCTAGAAGAGTAATGTTTGTTTTTTTTTAAAGCCTATTATCTAGGACTGTGACACAGTTATCCATATGCTATCCATATGCTGTTTGCTTTGAACCTGTGACCAAAACTCTTGATCATAAACAATGGGTTCAGTGAAAAGAGCTGTTATATCTAGCCTTTGAATTCAAAGCCCCTTATGAAAAAAGACTGTTGTAGTCCCGTGCACTTGCGAATAGTGCATCTCCCAGCCGGCAGTGCCTTAAGGGGTGAGCTGTTGGGAGGGTAGGCAGAGAACCAAGACTACTACACACCTCTGAAGATGTCACTGAAAATGGCCTGGCAGCCTTCCCTTTGCCTTTGTACCACTTGCCCAGTCACCAGACTGAGCTACAGAAGAACTAATTGACTTTTTTTTAAATTTTACAACCTTTTTCTTGGTGAACCCAGTAATATCTGAATGAATTGTTGAACTGAAACCAGTACTGAACAAGATTTTGCTTCCTGTTGAGTGTCTTTGCTTTTACAGGAGCAGAAAGGGTAGAGCTAACCTAAAGTTGGCATTCTTTTTGCATGGTGAGAGTTTCAGATGTTTTCATTGGAAAGATGATACATCTAAGAATGAGAGAACTTTGTGGTCAAAGAAACTTAACTGTGTTTGACAGTGATACGTGATAAAGGAGAACCAATATGAGATCAAAGAAGCTGGGAAGCTGTTTAAAGTTGTGGGAAAAAAAAAAGCTTCCAAAATTGGAGAGTTATTTTAAGACAGTTTTGCAACATATTCCAACTGTAATAGGAATAAAATGTATGATGGGAAAACAGATCAGTGTGTTGGCAGCAGAATACTAAACTGCCTTGTATTCATGAACATGGAGTGTTTCTATGGCTTGAATCCCTTATACTGTTGTATACAAGGAAGTCTCCCAATACGTACAAAATATGGGGATTTAATAGCGAATTTTAAACTTGTACACAACACTTTTTCACATGTGTTACAGCACTATGGAGTGTTTTACAGTATTTAGCTTAGGAATATGACAGCTTGGATGAAGAGTTAGTGGGGAGAGAAATGCAGGCATTAGTAAGTTTAATAGAGGTCAGGCTGGTGGAAAACAAGTGCTGTGAGAAGAATATGCTAGCCCTATTCTGCAGCAATTTGACTATGTGAATGAGTTTTCTTGCCAAATGTGAAGGTGCCTGATGAGAGAGACTCATCAGTTGTTGCCTTCGTGTATGTTGTAACTTTTTGACTTTTGGTTCATAAAGTCTAGAAGATGAGGCAAAGGCCTCTTGGTCCTCATCGTAATCATCTCCCTGGTAGCTTAGCTGCACTCTAATAATGCATTAGGAAATTTGGTATCATGAATAAAGTGGGCCGTCATCCTAATTAAAACTTAATTTGGTGTCAATTTAAATTAAGAGGCTTGCATAAACTGGTCCATTGTGACCTGGCTAGTGCTAATCTCAATCAGCAGCTTGGACAAGATATGAATTCAAATTTCTGCAGAACAACCAAAGTGACAGTAACAACTGACAACTTAAATTAAAATTACTAAATTCTAAGAAATTGATGTGCATGACCCAAGTTACAAGATAGGTCATTAAATCAAGTCTGTAGAAACAGACTTGAGAAGCTGTCCCTAATGATTTTAGGGAGAGACAAAAATGCTTTGTTAGTGCATTGTATGGGCAGAAAATAACTGACTTTGAGTTGAGAATTCACACGATAGTAAAATGAATACAGTAGTACAAAGACTTTAATTGGTTAATATGAAATGATAGGTAGAAGATGTAAAAAAACCACCCCAACCAAACGTAATAACAAACCAGTTAATCAACCGAAGAATTACTAATTTAAGCTCAGCAGCATACTGTTCTCTGAAAGTGTAAAAACATAGATAATAAAATTCTAAAATAAAATTCTTTAGTTTTCTGAAAGTAATAGGTTGCACTTCCAATTGCTAGAAATACTTTCAGAAACCTTTCTCTGGTTGCCCCTGTGCATTTATAGACATAATGGGTAAAATTTGCCAAACTGTCTGGTCATGCTTCTTACTACTACTGCTTGCTGGTTTTTTTTGTTGGATTCTTGGACTTCAGCTACTTGTAAAATAGGATCAATTAGAAATTACTAGATTACTGTAGATCTTGGTGGTGGAGTTACACTGGAAACTCTGTGCATGTATTACAGCATGTTTAGGTGTGTACACAAAACAGCACTAGTTACATCTCAGATAAGTATTTTGGGTCTCCTCAGTGTCTGTGCTGTGAATGGCAAATGCCTGAGGTGGTTCTACGGAATTCTTTGGGTGGAGGGTAACAGAACTTGACTACCAGTCTCAAAACACTTGAGAAGAGGAATTGTACCGTATGCTACTAACTCAGCTTTTCTTGTCTGAAAAGCCTACTGGACATAAATACAGAACTGTAAAAGTTAATTCATGTTTCAAGACTGGCCTTGTTTAGCTCATATTAGGATTGGTGGAATATGAGAGATGCTTCCAGAGTGACTCTCCATGGTTGTGCTTCTTTTCTTAGCACTTGGGCCAATCAAGCCCTGTATATCTTAAATGACACGCCTGTGTGTAAGAATATTTTTTTATGTAAAATATCCACTTGGAGTTTTAATTTTCAGGTTATTTAGGTTAAAAATAAAAAAAAAGGCAAGTTATATTTTAGAGGAAACACGGGAACAGAAAACAACTTTAAATCAGATGCTAATTTAATAAAGAACCTCAGAGCTTGACATCTTTCTTTATACTCCTGTTTGTTCAGCACTGTGACATCTGCAGTTTTCACTGTGGGAGACAATGTTGTTTCTGGTAGTGATGACCGTACTGTAAAAGTCTGGGATTTGAAAAACATGAGGTCTCCTATTGCAACCATCCGTACAGATTCTGCAGTCAACAGGTAAGATCATCTCCGAGTCACGATTTTTCTTAATTCACTGAATATACATTTAATTTTGGTCACTAAAATGAAAGTTGAGGTGTATGGGATTTTGAAAAAGGTCTGAAGTGGTTTTATAAAATGCAGATATAGTCAACACTGAATTCCAGTGAATACGTTGTACTGATTTTCTGAGTGTTTTTTATATGGGATGCAGATGTTGAGGCTGTTTGAGCATCTAGTACAGTAGAAAGCACCTTAATCATTTAATTCTTTTTTTCACTTGCCAATTCCAATCAGGAAAAATTGAACTGTATCACTTCTCAGGAGCATAAACTTGTACTGTCAAGTTCTATTTGCCAGGCTCACCGTCTTGTACATAACCTACTTTTGTCTGCTCTGCAGGATTAACGTATGTGTTGGTCAAAGGATCATCGCCCTTCCACATGACAACCGACAGGTCAGATTATTTGACATGTCAGGAGTGCGATTAGCACGCCTCCCCCGCAGTAATAGACAGGTAACTGAGTATTTGTAGCCTTCAACTATGTCTGCTCTTCTTTCATACAAGGTTAAAGCTAGGATTTGCTCTCTTCAGTTTAAAAGCTGAATGCACGCTAAAAGCCACTTGTCTGTACAGATACGCTGTCGTTAGTTATTGAAAATGACCAGCACACAAGTAACATAACTTGAATTTTATTAATTGGAATTGGAAATGATGTTTCAACTGGATTTTACCATCATTTTTGTCTTTACTAATGTCAGGCTGATGTCTGCCTTCTCTATGAAATGGAAAGAAGTGTTTAAGGGCATTTCAAATGTGTTTTAATGTCTTGATGTCAGTCTTTTCAGAATGTGACTCTCGGTGAGATTTAAGGGTTTCCACCCCCCCACCCCCACCCCCAATTTTATAAATAAAAATCCAAGAAAAATTGCGGGTCAGTTTTACAAGCTCCCCTTCTGTGATTTGGTGATCTTTTTTTGTTACTACTATTCCATGCCAATGCACATAGATTATTGCTATTTGATACTAAGAAGTACTAAACCATCCTTGCTGCAGCCAACAGGTTTTGGGCATTTGTGGTGCTGTTTGGCATGGCAGGCATCACAAATGGATCCCTACATACTAATGGAGCAATGACACTAAGTGAAATTAATTGGATTGTGCTACTTCAGTGGACTCTTTTTGGGTGGATTCAGCAGCCCTTGACAGAATTTAGGGAGGGGTTTTAAGACTTGTTTAGTCTTTGTCTCTTCCTAGTTTGGTGTCTTTTTAGTCTACTGTTTAGTCTTGATTTTTCTTTTTTTCTCCTGTTTGTTGTTGGGTTTTTTTAAAATTTATTTCTCAATATTTCCATTCAGGCTGACACTACTGAAATAATGGCAATTTATTTTTTTTTCTTTCATTAACTTAAACATTGGTCAGAATCCTCCTTGGGCCATCTTTGTTACTATTGGACTTGAACAGCAAATAAGGCTTTGGTTTTCCTCAGGATGACATTCCTCCTGCTGTAGTAATATCCTTCCTGAATTATGAATGTGGACACTTGATCTTGCAGGTTTATAACAAAGTAGTTGGCAGCAAGTAGTTCCATATTTTAAGATTGCTTTTAATAATAAAAATGCTAAAATCAAAATTCTGTTTCTTTTGTAAATAAAGTGTAATTAGATAGCGAACTTGGAAAACTCAAAAGTTTTGATGCACCTGTTGTATGCTTCTGCCATTAAGGGCTTGGTGCTGGTATTAGAGTGTGCTCATGCGATGAGACTTTCTGCTGCTTTTAATTAATTCTCATAGTTATGAGGATTTTTACCTTGCAGATGAAAGTAACGGTGACCTTTAGGATTCTTGAGTGCTGTTTGTAGAAACTGGTGTGAGCATTAGCAAGTTTGCATTCCGAGTCTCACTGACTTGTTGACTTAGAAGCTTTCAAAATACATCACAAGTAATACTGCTGTCTCTTGAACTGTCCTAGGGCCACAGGAGAATGGTGTGCTGCTCAGCGTGGAGCGAGGACCACCCAATCTGTAACCTCTTCACGTGTGGGTTTGATCGTCAGGCTATTGGCTGGAACATCAACATCCCTGCTTTGTTACAAGAAAAATGAAATGCTGGAAGAATTTTTGTGTTTTACGTTGCCATGGACTTCTACACTTTTTGCAGACTTTTCTGGATACTGGTCTGCTGTCGCTGTAAAGGCTCTTCCTGAAGTGGAGACTTTAGCAAATGTTGTTCTTGTGCACAGCCTGCATGAATTGTACAGAAAATGTGATTTTTTTTTTTTAAACTTAGTTGGTCTTGTGTATGAACTTTTTCTATTTTGGCATCCACTGGTCAACATGTTCGCTGTTGCATAGAGCACATAAATGTTCATAAGTTATTTAGCATTTAATAAATACACAGTAGGGCATTACACTTGTGACATAAATGTGAAACTTAGGTAATTCATGTAGAGAGTGTATAGCAGTCTGTTACGTTTTACCATGGCTCTACATATCTGCCTTGTGTTGCAACGAGTCTGCAGGGCTACCACTTTGAAATGAAGTGTGAATTTCACTAGTTGTATGATTGTAAACATTTTCTTGTTTGCATCTGGTTTGGGATACTTTTTTCAGTGCTGCAATATAGTGCAACTTCAACTCCATTTTTATTCCAGTTACTGGAGAAATAGTAGATTTGGGGAGGAAAATGCAAGCAACTTGTAGTGAGTGTAGACTGCCAGGTGTACGTGGAATGCTTTTTGTACTTTTTCCTTTGAAAAAGAAAAATATTCCTACTGCCCTTCTTATATAAAGTGATTCTAAAATCTCATGGCATTTCATACTAGCACAAATCCAGAATATTATGATTCTAATCACTGAAATCAAGTCAAGCAGACTTTGAAGCACTTCAGTTTATAGCTATTGTTATAAATCATTTATGAAAGTTTGACTTTACCAGTGAACGTGAGCTGACCTTTGTAAGAAGGATTGTTTCTTTTTGGTGATCTGCCCAGAAAGAAATAGTTTTGAGGGTTTCGTATGTTGTGGTGGTGGCTTTGTTTTTATTTTTCCATATATACCTACAGTGAGCATACCTTTAATTGTGTTCACTTCCCATATTTTTATTTTGAGCCAGCAATACAAAGTGAATGAGTACCTACCTCAGAAATTGGTGTTGGTCAAGATGCATTGAATCTCTCTGTAGCCTAGAAAAAAGCACTTTTGGTCTCTGGCTGAAGTACTATCTCTGACACGAGAGGAAAGACAATCATACTAAATGTGATCTTTAAGATAATTAACAAAGTTAATGGAACAATATCATAAGCAAACATCATCTGTCGCCTTTATGTTCTCAGCAAGGGCTGCTGCAGTCCCTGTTCCCTTCCTAAAGGGGGTAGTTAACATAGGCCCTCCTTCTTTCTCCCAAGTGGTCTTACTCTGGTTTTGCTCCTTGCTGTGCTTAGCCTTTTCTGCCCTGGCAGTGGGGTGTTACACCGCAGCTGCTGATGACGTAGGTGAAGGCAGGGGCAGCTGAAGTCTTTGAAAGAACGAGGGCTGCTTCAGACAGACACTTCTCTTTAGCTGAAGGGAGATACTGCCCCTGTCTGACATATCACGGCGTGAGGTGAAGGGTGAGGTGAGCCCAGGCTGCGCCCTTACAATGGGAATCGTGGAGTTTATGGTGGGTTGGCATAAGATAAGTGTTAGGAAGTTTTTCTCTCATGATTATGATTTCATGAAACTATAGCTGTGCTCATGTCCTCTACAGCACTGGTTATAACGACATGAAGACAGATGTGTTTACTGGTTCTCCTGTTAACTTGCATATAATGGCGTTGGAGTGCAATAGGATGGGATGATGAATGAATGCTTCATGGAGTACTTGTAGTGAAGCTGGGGTCCTAGACGTAGTTTTGGAGTGCAACATTAAGAAAGCTTGAGATATTTAATGGCGAATGTATGTAATATCTTTATAGTGCAGGTCATCATACTAGTTTGATCACTTGTTTTTTTGAGATACAGGATACATACAGAACTGTACTGAAAAATACCTGTACTTAATAACTGTACTTAAAATACCAAAACTAGTGAGGCTGAGAAAGCAGATGTCTTCTCATAACAAGGGTTTAAAGGATGGTGTTAAAATTTATTTTCACTTGTCCTCCCCCAGCCTTGGTTTTTAACACTTGGGTAAAGCCATTTGTTGTTTCGTTGCAGATTTTATTCTTGAAGACAAAAAGGTCTCCCTTACCAAATAAAGGAGTTGACTTTATACAGGTTGATGATATTGAAAACAGAGGAAAACATCTCTCCAGCCAGTAGAAGCAGTTTCTCCAGCATGGCCTACGTGTAGTATCTTGTGCAATGACTATCCTTTTATTACCTGAGG